CGAGGCTCAAATAGTAGTATCACAAATGACAACCTCTATGCCCCCTTGAAGGGATGGGTAGAAAATTATCATGGTTCAATATTCTGTATTTAAAATTCTATATTCAAAGGTCTTTATATATATTCGGTATTTCAAAAGTCTGTATGGGAAAATCGGAAAACCATATTGGTTTTGCGTTTTTTCATACACTTATTTTCTTTATCCATATGTCGGTAGGCAATGGCAAACCTACGAGTGTATTTCTGCCATGAAAAACAGCTTCTTATAAAAAAGAGTCAGCGTAAAACTATAGGTCCCTTCCAACATCAAGACGCACGCCACATATCGGAGGAGAAGCTCGGCCAAACACTACCATATGTACATATGTGTATAGTACATACACTATAAAGCTCGGAACACTTTGACGACAGCAAGCGACAAGCAGCATCTGTCAAATTTTAAATACACACGTTCTTACGGACACCATTATTTTGACGACAGCACGACATCTTGGCTGCAGGACTGCAATTGTCGACGTCGCCAAATTAAATCTATTTCTAATTTTGGCGGCTACAGTGAGTAGATGTAGTGCTGCAAAATTAAATTGTCGCAAAATTAATCACATATTCTTGATTGTTCATGTTTTTCTTATTTACCATGATTCAACAACTACAGGTTGTAGCAATCGTACAAAAACAACATTTACCGTTGGTATGAACTCCTTGTGTCATCAACATCTTCTTTATCTATTCATATTCGTGTGTATATGTATACCCTGCATACCAGGATTTCATAGAACTCTGAAAGGTTTCACAATTTTCTTAAGAATTTTCTTTAAGAAATCATACAGAAATTTCTTTACTAGTTCTTGTCAACCGCTTCATATGTTTTTCTTTACAGATTTCTAAAAGAATCGTAACAAATTTCCGACACTCTTAAAGATTTCGGGAGCATTTGTTTGCAGGGTATATATATACGTATATGTGTATGTGTACGCGGATATGTAAATAAAGCAAAACAGACGATAATTTGACACAAGCGTGCTCATAAGAAGAAGCATAGCTTCTATCGCTATCACCTGTAATTGATGCGCCTTGCTTATTTACTTAAATAAAAATACACAATTTGTGAAATAAATATACCAAAATGTCAAACTTTAAAATCAGCTGTTTGCTATGTCGCTGAGGTCTTCAAAATGTTTAAGAAGCTGGCTTCAAGGCGACATTTGTCGACAAAATGATGTCGCTGTCGTTACGTCGTGAAGTTGCAGTCGTCAACATTCCTCCGACATTCCTACGGCACTCCAATTACGTATGTATGTAGTTCGCTCTCTCATTCGTTATTCGCACTCCAATTACCCTTCGGATTACGTAATTCGCCATACAACATTTTGAGAGCGAATTACCTCACTTGTTGGTAATTCAGATCCAACTACTATGCGAATTACGAACAAATCGCTGCCGTCTCTAATTTTAATCGGATATGTATCGAAACAAGCTCACAAATAAAAACTGGCACCTTTTCTGGGTACTAAAAGTAAAGTTAATAAATTGGTACATCACCAATTTAATACAAAAACTTATACATTTTTTTGCAATAACTTACATTTTGCATCAATTTTGTAGCGAAGAAAAATAACATAACACAGAGGCAAAGAACAGTCCAATCGAATTAAGAATGAGCCCGAGTTAATAGGGTAATTCGCTATTACAATTCGGGGAGCGAACAAAGTATATGATTCATGGCGCCGTGGGAAAGCCGTATAAGATTTGCCATATCCTGCCAAGTAGCGACCGATTTGGCATAGACTTTATGGACCATGAATCGGTCCTATCGAGTGATTGTAAGCACAGTTTATAGATAGGAGATTTAGATAGGAGAGACGTCGCTTTACACTTCTCTGGTATTTTGGATTTCAACTGTTTGTGAATACAATAAAATACAGTAAATACAGAGACTCAGATAAGTATTTACTATTCCTCTTCAATTAATTATGCTTATTGAAATTCAAATGCGTATCTACGCGCTGCAGCTGGTAACATACATACATACATAATATATATGTACATATGTATATCAAATATCATTATTTACTATCTACGTGATAGTATGTAATACATGCTGCATTAGGGTGGCCCAAGAACGTATTGTAAAATTTGTTTTTCGTGGAAATGGCAAGAAACGATCGCAATTGGTTCAAATGCCAAAAAAAGTAAATACTTACTTTTTTAATTGGAAGCCACCTTAATACTATATACTATGTATGTATCGTCGCACAGGTATGTTACATACGGGCAGTTCTGTGAAATCCCGATTGAAGTTTGGAATGCAATTTCTAAAAACCCGCTCCGATAGATTTTCTCCAAAGTCTCGGAGAATGCTACTGGATTCTAAACTGCATATTTAATTTTTCTTGTTTATAATTTTAGAGTTTATGAAAGATTTTCTTTTTTTTTTCGTATGGTCGACAAAATGTGTTAAAATTTTTTATCAAATTACCGAAACTTTTTATTCAATATCTCGAAAACTAAAGCAGATGTCCAAAACTGGATTCCGCCATTTGGAGGACTTTGATTAGTTAATGTCGCGGAAACTAAAGGTGATCTTATTAAAAAAAAAAAATAAGTAAATCGTCAAAATGGCGCTTACGGCAATCTTTTATCCAGGGGACGGTATGTACATTAGGGTGGGCCAAAAGAAATTGTTGAAAACGTTAGGATTATACCAAATGGAAAAAAGAATACTCGTATTTATTTCTTTTTTTTTTTTAATTACATTTAGAACTGTCTCAAAGCCCATGAAATTTTCCATGTATTTTATATGGGGAAAAAACTTTTTTCCCTAGAAATGGTATCTAAAGAATTCTGGAAAATTAATATTTTTCGCTTGGAATATTCTGTTCCTCTCCAGCAGACAATAAGATGGTGGTTTTGGGGATCTATAAAAAAATAGTTAATGTTAAAAAATAGTTAAATAAACAATTGGGTATTGTTATTGGAAGTCTCCTAAACAGGAACAGAGTTTTCCGATATAAAACACATAAAATACTTTATTGGCATTGGGACAGTTCTAAATATAATTTCTTACTTTAGAAGAGTCCTAGGGAGTGAGCGCGTGTATTTTTGGACCAACCTAATGTACATTCATACTTACTAGTATGTAATTGTGTTTTTTTTTTGCTTTACCTATAGCTCATTACAGTACATAAGTATTTCGGCGGTGAAAATTTAATTCTTTTCACTTTTGACGAATGAGTTGCAACTTACTCTTATTGTTCTTACCTCTTTTATGCATACACATGTATGTATGTATGTATAAAAGTAAATACATTTAAATACAAACAAATGTATATTTACTGCATATTTACTTACTCGAATTTTCGATTACTAAATTCTTATCATTTCAGCAGTGTGTTTCCACTAAAACTGTAACGCTGACGTGTTTTAAAAAAATTATACGCGAAACCTCAACACTTGAGTGCACAAAAATTTTTAAACTTTGCATTCAAAAGGTTTTGCGCTTTCTAACCAACTTAATTGATTGATTGCCTTATACATTTACAAACACAAGTACAAAATGTATAACGCTTAAAACGGTATTTTTTACTGATAAAAAAAAAATATATTTTCATGATTTTGCCAAAAGTTAACCGCATTTGCCCACTTTTTGGCTATTTTTGCGGGTGCTACTCAGAAGTGTTAATTCATTTATTGTATTGTAATTGATTTGTTTGCCAACGTGTTGGACGAGTACTAGTACTTAACGAAAGTGTGAATGTTGGGTATTCATTCACAAGCTGTGTCTACATATTTCATAAATTCTTCACAAACCAAGTGGTGTTGGGTTTTGTAATCTAAGTGTAGCTTCAGTGGATATGTCCTTATGTCCAATTGCTTGAGTATCTACATATGTATGTGCGTGTGTGCATTTATTCATATATATTTTTTTTGTCATAGAATCTTTGTGCAAAATTAAAAATCGTACAATTGTAATCGGAAATAATGTTGCTGAAAATCGTAACAAATTTCGTTTGCGGTGAACTGAAGAAAGTCAAAACGAATTTGACTATGTTTTTGATATTCTTCTGGGTGATTTGGTTTTCGCAATTGATTGCCATATCGACGATGTTTCTCAGGTAAATGCACAAGTGTGAACTACATACATATGTACATACACTGGCGGCAGAAATAATGGACTCGTCGTACTTTGAAGAGTTTTGGCTATATTTTTTTAGTTTCAGTTATGTTTAATATTTTTTTATAAAAGCCGGGGTAGTTATACAACAAACATCACACAAATCCGCTTTTCAAACTTTCAACAAAAATTATAAAAATTCGACAAATTTTCACCAAATTCTCAAACTTTTTATTCAGAATTTTTAGAAAAATTTTAGTTATGCAGTTTAGTAGCCACTTCAATTTTAGTGCAAGTTTCAATTGACTATAAAATATGTACCGTTGATTTTTAAGAATTTTTTTGCCACATTTTTTCAGATACAAAGTGTGCTTGAAAATTTTTTTATATGGAAGAATATACCTAGCATTGTCAACAAAAAAAATGGCTATAAAACTGCATACTAAAAATTCTGACAGTTTGAAAATTTGGTGAAAATTTTTCGAATTTTTATAATTTCTATACAAAGTTTGAAAATGGCATTTATATGGTGTTTGTTGTATAACTAGCCAGGCTTTTATAAAATAATATTAAACATAAAATAAACCAAAGTAGTAGAGCCAAAACTCTTCAACGTAAGGCTAGTCTATTATTTCTGCCGCCACTGTATGTATATGTATACTATATGTATATGTAAACCATAAACATTTTTTAACACCTCAAAAGCAGTATTATTGATAAAACTATTCTGATTGCACTGAAACATATTTAGAACAAACTAATCCCCAAAGTTACTTAAATTTTACTAACCTGAACCTTTTCTTCAATATAGGTTTAATTATTCCATTTGCGCTTAATTTTCCTTCTTACTCATTAAAGCTCTATTCTTTTCTTTTTTGCATTTACAGCCTGCCCGATATCACAGAGATCCCCACAATCACGGTGACTGAGTTGCCACTGGAGCTATTGGAGCCAACGCGCGGCAACATAGATGCGCTAATCATTGATGCAGCAAAGGAAAGCATTGCGCGAGAACATGAAAATCGTACGATGGAAATGTTGGAGAATGGCAGTGAGGTGATAAGAAAAGGTATATATAAAGGCAGTTCACCTAAAGCTTTTACTATGTATGTATGTATAGTAGGGTGCATCACTCTCCACACAAAAACTACTAGGCACTGTCTTTCCATCGGAAATATGAAATTATATTTTGAGACTTCCGTCAAAATTTCTCGGGAAAATATTAAGATTTACCTGAGTTAGACCTATACCTACACAAAATGTCATGTGGAATCCGTGTAGGATCTTAAGTCCTTAACTCCACTCTAATATGCATCCCCTCAAGAGATGAGTGGGCGGTGGTTAAGAGGGGGACACCGGTGAACTTTAGATGGATGGGTCGAAGTTTGACGGGAGGGTGAAATCTGTGGAGAGAGCTCTACATCAACCTCAAATTTAAGCTTTCAAACCACTATAGTGTTTTTTAAGCGGGGGTTGTTGCTATTAAGGAAGCGGTCGATTGGCTGCTATTGGGCGCGCTGGTGGTGAGGAAGATGAACATCTACTCAGACAGCCAGGCGGCAATCAGAGCCTTGGGCTCACTCACGCCATAACCCCCTTTCGATTGCGTCCGATTATTTCCGGGTTAGACTTTTATGAATATCGCTGGAAACCATGCGATGGATGAGCTGGCCAGAGAGGACATCGCCGAGTCATTATCGCCTAGAAAAATGAGTGTAGAAGCTCGCTTGAGCTCACAGATCCCTTAGGTCTCAGCTGCATGAAGGTCGGCGATGTGAAGTCAGCTCAACAATTCATCTTAGACTGCCCAGCTTTTGCCAGATTACGGCTTAGGCACTTGGGTTCGTAATTTCTGACTAGTTCGGAGGAGCTCTCACGCTGTGTTTCTCGCCATAACTTGGTAGTTATCGTTCGCAGTAGGGACCAACGATCGCGGTCTAAGTGAGTCCCTTAACAAGGGACCTTAACCTAATTTAGCCCAACCTAGGGTCAGCAAAATTAATTTAGGTTCTCAATCAGTTTCCGAGTTATTTGCAAAAATATTTGAGTCAGATAACTTGATACAACCCTAGCTGGCACCCCTTTAAAAATATTTATCAGTATTTGACCACTTTGGTCTATTCAACTGTGCATGCGCACACCCACTTTTGCTGCTCTTTAAATTTTGTCGTTCGGCGATTGCAGCGACATTTTAGTTATTTCGAAAATTTTTATATAGTATTTCAAAATCACCTACATAGCACCTTATTCTTATATTTATTTCGAAAATATAAAAAAAAAAAATATCTAGTTGACCCACAAGCTGTTTCCGTATTTCTCGGAAACTAATTGAGCAGCTAATCCGGGCCGTAATCTCATTTTCAATGTCTAGATTATTTATTTGTTTATTACTTGAAATTTAACTTATCCATCGGACCAAACGCTCCACCCTTCCGGTTCTGGGTTTTTACCGCTGAGTGCATGATCACTTGGGTCAAATGAAGATCAACAGAAGGCAAGTTCAGCCTTAGTCTTAAAGCCAACCAGAAGAATTCTCAACATATGTATTTGCCAAATCTCATTGTACCAATTTTTTTAGAATATGGGGAGTTTACCCGCATAGTTAAAAAAACGATAATAGTACATACTTTACCATATCATTTCAATTCCAACTCTTTGCAGACGAAGATATCATCAAATTTGACGACTCTGGTGGCGGTGAAAAGCTGCAGCCTTCGCAATTCGACGCAGATCTTACTTCAAGTGAAATTCCACAAAACATTCCAAATGTAAATGTCACCAACGCGCCAACGCCTGCTCAACCGCCAATGCCAACGCTGCCTACACAAAATGAGAGTGCCAGCCCATTGCCAACAGCCGCACCAGCTGGCGATGATAGCAACGCAGGCAGCACTGTGAATCTCACCGTCGAAGAGGTGCCCATACCCGTCTTCTCAGAGTGGGCGCAAAAGCAAATGGAAGCTGCCGAGAAGCAGCAGGCGAAAGAGCAAGAAGTGGTGCACACATCCACGCAAAAAAAGAACCACACCAATGGGGATGGCAAGCGACCGGCGCCGTTGAAAATGCGCAACAAGAACTATGCCTCACCCGACTGTGGCGCCAAAATAATCGCCTCCAATGTAGATGCGAGCAACACAGGTGCAGTGCTGAGCTCCTCGAAGGACGAATATATGTTGAGTCCGTGTGGCAATCGCATTTGGTTCGTAGTTGAATTGTGCGAGGCGATACAAGCGCAAAAAGTGGAGTTGGCCAATTTTGAATTGTTCTCTTCGTCGCCGAAAAATTTCACAGTAGCCGTTTCGAATCGTTTTCCTACACGCGATTGGTCGAATGTTGGACGTTTTATAGCGGAAGACAAGCGCACGGTGCAGAGTTTCGATTTGCATCCGCACTTATTTGGCAAATTCGTGCGTGTGGACATACATTCACACTACTCCAAGGAGCACTTCTGTCCAGTCTCACTTTTTCGTGTTTTCGGCACATCCGAATTTGAAGCTTTCGAAACCGAGGACACACCACATGCCGATCTGGATGACTTTGACGATGAATTTGGACAAGAGCAAGTGCTTGCAAAAAGCGCCGATACGAATCTCTTCAAGTCCGCCTCCGAAGCAGTGTTCTCGATGGTCAAGAAAGCTGCCGAAGTGCTGGTAAAGCCAGCTCACCATTTGAATGCGACGCTGTTGGCGCGCACGCAGACTCCTTCAACTCGATGTCACACACCAGCGTCGGGGCAATACAGTTGCAGCGACTGTAATCAGCCACTGGTGGAGCGCATCAACAATGTACTCTCTTGTGAATACCAACAGGTTCAAGCGCTGCTCAAAGTACCCTGGCTGCTGAAAGATCTTCTGAGTACGGGCATATGTGCCAAGCGCTATGGTATTGAGCTGGAAGCAAAAAACCTTAACGAACGTTGCGCGAAAAATCCACACAGCCATGGACTGGAAATGGATGTGAAACATAGCTACTACCTGAATATGCTGCCCGCGGAATATGTGGGCGCGCTTTGTCAACTGCTGGGCGCGCAAGATAAAACGAAATCAACTGCAGCCGCTGCACAGAGATCGCAAGACGGGGATACGGTCGCCGCGGAACAGCCATTGAATCTCACCATCGACAAGAAATTAAAAAAAGATGATTTCAGAATAATCGACGGCTCGCAAAAGAGGCTGGTGACGCCAGAGCAAACCGGTGAGGGAGGCGGCATTTCAGCCGAGAGCACCGCGTCACCGTCTAGTGGTGAAGGCGCGCTGTCAGTCAGAGCAAGTCCCGTCGGCAGCGGCGAAGGCGACGGCGACGGCGAGCAGCTGGTGCGTCCACCACAAGCCAACACAGAAGAAGCCGCTGATACCACTACTAAGGCACCATACACTGGCAATGGAAAGGAGCCAACACCTGATGTAAATATATTCAATGTACCTGCATCTAAAGAACAGCTACCAGCAAAAGCAGCGCTATCAAATGAGCCAACCACCACGGAGGAAGCGAGTAGCAGCGAATATAGCGGCGACGGCGGTAGTAGCAGCGGCGCCAACATTGGCACTACCGCCTTGCCACCGACTGCGAGCACAGACGCACACAAAGCAGCAGCTGATGGCGCAAACATCGATGACACACTTACGCTGCAGCCTACTCCAGTGACAACAGCCATGCCACCATCGTCATTGGGATCGCGCAATGAAGAGGATTCCGCCTCGTGGGAAAATATCGATAACCTAATCACCTCAACGACGGTGGCGCCGGGAAATGGTGGTGGCGGTGGTGCATCGTCTGGCGATGTCGGTGCGCAAGGCAATCAGCCGGGTGTGAATTTACAACAGAAAATACCCAGTGGTCCGCAGTCGGAGAGCGTATTTATACGCCTTTCAAATCGCATTAAGGTGAGTGCTTAGATTTACTATACCTAAGCAAAAAAGTGGGTAAATTTATGTATTGAAAATTCGTGGAAACGAACTTTTAAATCTTTATGAAAAGTGTTTCGGTTCGGATCAAACATTTATTGGAAAATTTCGGTACAGTTAGTGGCTCAGTTAATTAATAGAAAAAAGCAGTTTCCCAGTTCAGAACCGATTCACGTCCCTGCTTAGAGCAATGACTTTTCAAAAATTAAATAAAATAAAAAAAATGATTTTAAATATAATAAAAATTAGAAGAAAAATTAACTAAAAAAAGAAAAAATATGAAATTTTAAAAAGAAAAAAATTAATAAAGAAAAGTTTCTAAAAAGTATATGATATTAAAACTACTATGTACATGTATATTTCTTTTTAAAACAAAAATTAAAAGAATATGGAATTTATTAAAAACAGAAAAACGTAAAACAAGATCCTAAATACTAAACGAAATAAAACTTTTTTTTTTGCTTTTTAAAATAATATAATCTAAAAATTAAAAAAAAAAACTAATTTAATAAATTAAATAATAAATAATTTAATTAAATTTTATTCCTTTTAATACTTTTAAAAATTATTAGGAAATTAAATAAATATAAAAATATTACAAAATATAGAAAGAAATATAAATTAAGATAATAATTTAAAACAATCAAAAAATAACTTTTATCTCTACTGGCTATTCTACTGCGTTGAGTACTCCTTATGCTCTGAAGATTAAGTCTTACGTATGTAGAAGACCTTGGAAGATTATTTCTAATTGGAATCAAAAGTTGTACCATAAAATTTCACGGTACATTCAAATCTAAAAGTAACTACTTAGCATATTTGCTATTGATCGCCAATGCTGCCCGTGCCTATCAATAAAGTTAACTACCTTATTACTTTGTTGCTACCCTGACACACTTTGTTAACTCCTCGTTTACGGAGTTCACTTTTATTTTTCCCTACCTTTTTCAGTTAACTCTTCTATTTACTTGCGATTACAACTACAATACTTTGCTCCTTTTACCCTCTGTGCACGTTTTACGGCAACTAGGCGGGTATTAATAATGGCAAATTTGCGTGTTTGAAATTGTTTCTCCGTTTGGCTTAACTAACGCAAGGCTACTTGATTTCTTCACGTAATTCTTCTTGTTATTAGACACCATATGATTTGTGGTTGTGGGTTAATGTTTTTTTTTTGTATTGTTTTGGTTGCTATTACGCAGGACTTGCAATCAGTCGTATAAGCAGTAAACAGTGTGTTAAAATTATTAAGTTCCAAAAAAAAATACATATGCGAAATTTTTTTCTATTTCTTCTCATTTCCGTGAAAGTAATTTTTTCTTAAAAACGCCTAAGATTCTAACTTCTTTGTCAAAAAAACTTAAAAAATTAATTACATTCGTCAAAAATATAATACTAGAGGTCTTGACACCGTTCATAGCACTCAGTATCCCTGTACTCTGTAATTTTGCCAATGTTAAATACTGTTCCCACATAAGAAAAATTTATTTTCGTTCTTTTTTCGCCCAGGCAGTGAAGAACCCCTTAAAACGTTTATTTTGCAATCAATCCCAAAAAACTGTTCCCAACTTTCGAAAATTTTCTTGTTGAGCCTGTTAAAGCGTGAAACAAAAATAATGGCAATCCTGCGCTATTAAATAAAAAACTGTTCTCACTTCAGAAAATTTTGTTTTCTAGCCAAATTTTAGTTAGTACATAACGCTACGCAATTTTCCAAGTGATTTAACATGGCATTCACCAAACTCGTCTGTGTGAATTGTGTTTTAATTTTCTGGAAAGGGATAAAATCGTTTTGAACTTTTGTTGAATTCTCTCTCTGCTCTCAAGGGCAGCTTCCGTTTTTACTAAAACTTTTTCTAGCTATTCAAAGAAACTAGAAACTCAGTGTTAGTCTCTCGCACGGCCAATAGTGCGTTTATGCCTCCAGTATTAGCTGTTCTCACATGAAGGATAACTTTTTTCTTCTTTTAGTCTTATTATTTGCATTCTTGCACTATATATCGTAAGAAAAATCTGTTCCCACTTTTTTAAATTCTAGTCAATCATTTCTGTTTCTAGTCTAATTACTTTACCACTCATATACGCCTCAAAACATTTCTTGCGCTATCAACCAAAATCCACTTCCACTTCCGAAGAATTTCTGTGAGACTTTTTATCTTGCTGGTCACAGCGCTAAATAAATAAAAGCTAAACTCCTTATAATATTTCTTACGTTACCACCACCAAAAAAAAACTGTTTCCACTTTCGGAAAGTTTATTTTCGATTTAAAGCATGTTCAATTAACACTTTTTCTTCACTATCACTCTTGCCGGCTTTGCGTATTTCAGTTATTTATCAAACTATTCCCACCTTGGAAAATTCCATTCTACCTAAAACTTTATTTAACCACTGAAAATTAATTGTTAGTCTCCGACTCACAATCCTAATTAGCAATTATGCCCCAGCATAAACTGTTCTCAGGTGCAGATACACTATTTTTACTTGCAATAACTGTTTTTCAAATCTAACTAAAAACTGTGCACTGCACAGATTTGCAATCGTGCGTTTTATAAAGAAAAAAACTGTTCCCACTTTTTGAAAAACATTTATTTTGCTTTAGATTTTCTATTGAACATTTATATTCACAGTTAAAGTTTATTTTCTTTTTATGTGCACTTTTTCGGACATACGGTGTTTCTGTTCCCAGCAAGAGTTCTACTTGGTTTTGACTACTTGAAAGTTTGTTGTAGGCGCACATACCCTTAGAAAAAAAAAGATTACTTCTTATTGAGTAGCTTCATGAGACCAAGTCTTTTATTTGTTACTTTCGCTTCACTGTTCAATAGCGCTGCTAACACACTTTCACTTAGCTCACTTAATCCTTCTGCTTTCAGTGTCAGTTCAACTTCAGGTGCCTTTGCACTATATATTTTTACGCTCATATGTACACTCATACTTATAAAAACATTCTATCACTCATTTAAATAATGTTATTTCTGCTATTCTAATCCTGCAGGCGCTTGAGCGGAATATGTCTCTGTCCGGTCAATACCTGGAAGAATTATCGCGACGCTACAAAAAACAAGTTGAAGAACTTCAACTCACACTCACCCAAACAGTGCAAACGGTACGCACGCTGGAGGAGCATACGCGTCGACAAAGCGAGCTACATCAGCTGCTCGCCCAGCGCAATGCCCAGCTGAAGGACGAGCTAGACGATTTGTCGCTGCAGGTGCACGCTTGCATTGTGGTCATAATTTTTGTAGGCGCCTTTGTATTTCTTGTGCTTATGGTGAGTATTATCTTCTATCGTTCGATGCGACGCGAAACCAAGGAGGTGTTGACGCTTTACACCAAGGCGAATAAGAAGAAGACAGCCAACGCGGTGGCCGCAATGCAGAGAAAACTAAATCGACGCAAATCATTTGAAGACTTCTCGGATAACCAGCAAAGCGGCGAGAAATTGCGGCGTCCCAGTGAAGAAGCGCTCATGATACTTAAGGAACGTAGTGGCAATGGCTCTGGTTATGAGGCCATTGAAACCGTTGGTGATGCAGCGAAGAATACGTCACAGCGCCAACGGAAAATCTCCGTGTGTTATAGCAGCAATGTTGGCGCCAGCAATCACTGCACAAGTGACGCACCCGGCACTCAAAATGTTAAAATGCGGCGCAAGGGGGAGAAGCACTCGTGGCCAAATACTGAACACGCGCAGCAACAGGCGCGTCGCCATCTAGCGCAGCTGCACGATGCTACAGAGTTAGTGGAGAATTCCGATAGATTAAATGGCCGGCCACCACGTGCTTCGTTGTTAAATGGCAGTGGCAGCAAATCCAAACGAAAGACGCAACTGCCACGTCGACAAGCGTCTGTGTCACATGAGTTTATGGGTGGTGGCTTAAATAGTACCGCACCGGCGGCGGAGATTAACGCCGCTGAATATGACGAGAGTCTACGACTTGAAGAGGATGACCTCGACAATTTTATACCAACATCCGATTTGGCATATAACGAATTCATGCCGGAAGGACCATCCGGCTATCAGGTGGACGACGGTGTAGAGGTGCAGAATGCAGATAACAAAAAGTCAGGCAAGAAGCTAAGTCGTCTCTCAGCACCCAATTTCTTTAAGTCACCCTTCGGCAAAAGTCGCAATAAATTACGTGGCACGAAATCGGCAAAACATCCGCATGAATCCACCTCTTGGGAATGGTATCGCTCGAAGAATTCAGAGCCGAAAGCACTAAGTGGCTCGGCATCCGCCAGTGGTGGCTTCATGCGTGCCTCGCCAACCAACAGCTTAGATTCATCGTCACTCTCGGAGATTTTGTTACCCAATAGCCGCACTGAGAATTCATTTCGCATACTCGAGGAGGCTATATTGTCGTCGGGCGAGAGCATAGCGGCCAGCAGTGGAGCAACGGCGACGACGGCAGCAACGACACCGACTGGCACCAATACCACGGACAATGGTAACGGTAATGTACATAGTAATGGCAGTTATAGCAATGGCAGTAGCATCGCTAGTAATAGCAACCGCAGTTCTAATTCATCTACATCGACGAAAAAGAAAAATCGTAGCTTCAATAAGATATTTCGTAAAGTATTTTAGATAACGACTGAGGTGTTGAGGAAGCGAGGCTTTTTTTGTTTTGTTGTTTTTTGCAGCTTTGAATAAAATTTATAATTTTTTGAAAATTCAGGCGCTTTCAACGGGTCAATTCACTTTAGTGGCGCATTACTCAAAGTTCAAAAGTAATTTTCTGCATATTAAAAATATAGTCTGATATTGCTTCTATATAATAAGTGAGAATTCGAACACAGTGTCAGAGTGTCAGAAGAATGTAGATTATATGAATTTTTTTTTTTAATTTTTGTTTATAAAAAATGCTATAGCCTATTAACTACCATAAACATTGGCTTTTTAGAACAGATTTAACTCAATTAGTTCCAGTCTAGCAAAGAATTGTAGGTGTCAACGGTGTACAAAAACGAAAAGGTCTTATAATATATCTCTGAAGAAAGAAAATTATATGTTTCGCGTTAGACATAACTCCTCCACTTAAGCAGCAAAGGACATACAACTATACAATTACTCACAGACAAAGGGAGACACTAAAAAAAACATTTTGTTTATACTCACAATTGGGGCATTCACTTCGATATCTTAAGTGTCTTATTGTTATATATCGTAAATTTTAAACGGCTAAAAATATATTTCCTAGGCTCGCAGGGTTCCATAAAAGTTACTTATGAATTCTCACGGTGGTAAAAAATAGTTGGTACTGTTTTCAAGTTTACTAAACATATTTAATCTTGTTCACTACATGCAACAATACGACCAACAATAATACGTAGACAGGTAGAGGCAGGAGGGTGATCGAATACCCTAACTTTCAAATTTTTCCCATATATATTAAATTAGTACCCTGAAATGCCTGCTTAATGGGGTCGAGCCCACCCATAAATTTCATTCTGGCTACGCCAATGAATACGACACCGCATAATAGGTCCCATTTATGTGGCAAAAAGTCATTTTTTTTTGTGCTTGGTATTTGATAAAGAAAACTTAAAATTAATTTTGTCGAATTTTTGAAGGTTTTTTAAATAATTAACATAACAAACATTAATTTCAATAAAATATGGAAAAGAAAAATGAGAGTATTAGCTGGTTTCACCAGCAATTTAAATGGAAAATGGTTTTTTATTTTCTGTCAATTTCCATACAAAATTCAAAAAATTTAAATAATTTTTCACTTAGATTGCTTTCGTGGAATTAGCTGTAAGTGCTTTATTGTTTAAAATAAATACATATTTTTTGAGATTTTTTTTTTGCCAGAAAAATAGATAATTCTGACATAACCTAAAATTAATTGTTGTTTGCTTAAAATTTAAGTTCGAACAAGCTTGTAAAGTTTTAGCCATGTTTATACTATCCAAAACGTGTAAAATGGGTATTGAGATTGTCGGTAGTAAACTATTTACCATTGTGTGGAGTGGAAGCAATAGAGAAAAGAAACAAAAGACTGTTAACAATTTTTTTGATACAAAGGCTATTCTTTTTTTTATTTTTGAGCAGACAATTCAGCAAATTTTTATCGTTACCTTAATATAGAAAGGATATTTGAAAAATAACCACTGCATAAATAGTTTCTATAACTAACTGGCATTTTTTTCTTTAATACAAATATCTATAAAAAAAAGCTGCATTCACACCTGTATAATAAAACCACAAACATAAAAGTGACCCCTTTAGACCCCTGGGTCGGAAGGGTTAAGATTTTTTGAGACTAAATAAAAATAATGTTTTCTTAATCATCTAATTGTGTAGTTAACCGCAGTGAATACCCCAAATGTGTTTCGTGTTAAATAATTTTCTTTATCTTTTACATTTAAAAATTTAGCTTTTGACACAACAAAAATGATGAAAACCAAAATTCCACGCAAAAGCCTGCTATATAAGGAAGAAAATGCGCAATCTTGTTCACGAAAAAATTACCAAAATTTCTCCTTTCTTTTTTGTATGGAGTGGCACAAATTTTGGGGCTTCTGCTTTCGCCACTCGCAGAAGGGTTTCGTAGGACGTACTTCAGAAGGTCTTTTAGAGGGGCTTTTCTGAAGCTGCTCCTTTATTTCAAAATTTATTTATTTTAAACTTACAAATTCGCGTAAATTGTAAATAGAAAAATGTCTTCTAGAGGACATGCAGGGAAGCCCTTCTCGGGTAAGTCTTTTAAAATAGCTCCACTTAAGGCAGTAGCTAAATTATCTTCTGGGTAATTATCTAATTTTACCTTAAAACTTCTTCATTTAGCCAGTTAAAACCGCGAAATTTTTTTAGTTTTTACTAATCAATCACACAAAATTTCCAAAAAAAAAAAAACAAATATTTATTTATTTAATATATCAACTTTTATACAAATCTGGATTACATATTCGGTACTTAACTAAGCTTTTAACTGCAATTAAGCTGCTGGTGAAAATAGGGCATAAACTCGTAAAGTCTGATACGGACTAGGAAATGAATTTGTTTAAAAACAAAGAACAATAAATATATAAGTAACACTCTTTTGACACTCACTGTAATCATTGCTTGACAAGATGCACAATAGGGCTGGGTATAGTTGCGGTTTGGAAAAAATATATGTTTATATTCAGCAGCAACAACTAAGGGGTTACACCACCCTAGCCGAAAAATAAGTTAACAAATATATTTGTTTAACCTTGCTATAAGGCTCAATAACACTATTGAAAAGAAATATTAATACGCCACAATAAAATTGAAGAAAATATTTACCGTTTTTCGGGGCCTTTCTACCATTCTCACTTTTAACTGCTGAAGTGCTTTGAATTCCGGAATGGGGAGGGCCTTGAAGTGATCTTCAGAGTACGTCGAATTTTTAAGCGAAAAGAATTTCGATTTTTAATTTTTCAGGGGGGTGTAAGCCCTTTATGGCTGTTTCTATATTTAGTTTCTGAAGTATAATAAAATGCATATTTTTCATCAAAAAAAAATTTAAAACTGAAGACCATTAAATACGCATTCGTGTGTTAAGGAAATTTACTTAAAAAAAAAAGCAGCTGGTAAAAAATTTGCGAAAACCCCTGCAAGCGTAATATTAAAATAAACAGCTTTCGATGGCAAGAACAGAGTAAAGCTGTACTGGCCTGTAGCTCATCTTGTTGAGGCGGCAATCTTAAAAGAGTTTTTATTCTTGAATTCCGCACCTGCCAGATCTTGTTTCAAACTGATTCCTCGTCCGCGCACCTGCATCTCCGTTTCCCGCCATAAGTTGACTTATGCCGAGCTTCCAGTAGGCATTGAAATAGCAGAACAATGTATGCCATTTAAAAAATGTCATATGGAAACATAATCGGTATTATCCAGAGTTCCTCGTGAAAACAAATTTACCCGAAATTCTTTCGTTCGCCCATAGTGAATACACATAAGCGAAAAGAGAAAAATTAACGATTTCGGGCGAATATGATACTTTTGATAAGGCTGAACGACTATTTTGAATGCCTGACCTTGTCATTAAAAATGTTGTCAATTAATGCCCTGTGGAATCTCAGCATTAGTATAAGAGTATTTTTGATTAAAGTCATAACATAGATATTTTTAATGACGAATGTTATGCGAATCCAGTGTAATGTCAAACTTTTACTAGGCATTTAAATTGAAAAAAAAAACTGTGTGCCAATTAAAAACTAGTATGGCGCATGATACAAAAAAGAAGGTAGTTTCAATAAACAACTTTTGACGGATAATACAATTTTTTGAAGTTTCATAAATTGTGAGTATTCTCAACGGCCTTGCCACTTTGATAATATTAAAACAATAAATCGAAGTATCTTCTTTCCCACATTTATACCAATTTAATAATATTTCAAATCAAAAATCATTATCAGTGCTTGGTAATTTTTTTTCTTACGTGGTTCGCACCTTTTTTTATTAAAAATATATAAAATATGTAATTTCAAAGGAGACTTCATTGAAATTGTTGTTAATTCTAAAGAATGCTCTTTCCAAATAAATCTTTTTATAATCGCCAATTCCATGTGAATAATTGTTCTCATAACTTAACATGCAAAACAAAAACAAATTGGGAAAAATTATTTTTGTTTTGCTTTATTAATTTGGGAATATTTGATCACATGAAATTCGTGAAAATTTACTTTTAAATTTCTCGTCAGCTTTCGCAAAAAATTAGGCTTTGTGGTTGCCGTATCACCATTAACTTCAACAAATTTCGAATTGAAAATTTCCAATGTACCTATGCCAAAAACTTGAATTCGGCTTGCGCAGACCGCCCCCTTTTTGAGGTTCATCATATTCGACACCTTTGAGTGGACTGATGAAATCTTCTGCTTAAAAAAAATATTACTGCTCGTCATCAGGTAGCATGAATTTAATGAAATGTCATAATTTTATTACAAGTCAAATGGTTAACAACAACAACGAATGTCATTAAATGAAACTACCTTCTTTTTTGTATCATGGTATGGCGGTATTCCCTGGGGATAGAAATGGCAAAATTTTTATATACAAAGTTTTTCATTCAAAATATTGTGAAATGGCATTCAAAACTTTAGTAAAGCTGTTTCCAAATATATTTTTTTAAACGGCAAAAAGTTTCGGCATTTAGATGCCTTTTTGAAATTTGGCATTTTGTGGAACACGAATATTTTTAGTCCCAACTTTGTCATCAAAATTGTTAGCAAAGCGTTTTTACAGCCGTAGAAATTGTATAAAAAGTAGTATGTTGAACTATATGTTCATAGCCTCTGACAAAGTTTAAGGTTTTACATACATACATGTATACATACATATAAAGTTTTTAATTTTTTTTTAAATATATTTCGACTAGTGGAATTTGTTTGCTTTTGTGTTTTTCACTTTACTTAAACTTTTCATTCAACATGTACTCGTATTATTAATTGCATTGTTTTAATTAAACTCTGTTTTAATAACAAAGCTTATGCGAATTGCTTTGCTACCGATTAATTTGAATTATATCTTTATTATATAATCTACGCAATCATCAACAAACGCTTCTACTTATTAATTTTTCATTATTATTATCATCAAAATACGCCAACATGTGCTTGCCTATCGATGTTCTGTTAAGAATTTTTTTTTTCGTTTTGGTACTATTTTATTTAACCTGTTAATTTAAAATAATTCAATATGATTTAATTTTTAATTTAGTTTTTAGTTAAGACACCGACACTACGAAAAAAAAAGAAAACAACAATCTACGAAGGCAAAGAAAAAACTACATGCATACATGTGTACATATGTAATCAGTCAGAGTGATTGAGGAAGAAAGAGAAGTGGAGAGAAGCTACGGCGAACTGCGTGCGTCAAATGAAGAAGGCTTTCATAATATTGAAATGTCAACAACCAATGTATGTACATATGTACATAAATTCTGAAAATTGTTAATTTCGAAAAAAAAAGTTATGCAAAATGCGTTTATCTGACGAAATGTAAAACTTTATTATTTAAACGCTTGCGAAATGCTTTCTGACCTAACGTAAATTTAAAACAAAAAGTAGAACAAATTTTTTATTCACATTTTATTTTTGTAGCGAACGTGTTTAAATTGCATATATGTACATATGTAAGTAAGTACATGCATTTTTTCATTATTTGTAAAATATTGTTATATCTAGTGCATGTACTGGCGTAAAAATTAATAACTGTATTTTCTATATTTATAAAATGAATTAGACTAAATTGTTGTAATAATCAATCGTTGAGAACAAAAAATTGTTAATAAGAAAATACTTATTACCGTTACCCAAAGGTGAAAAGGTGCCACGTCAATTTTTTGAAATTGTTCAGGAGAGACGAAAAATCGATGTAGTTTTGCATTATCTGTCCGTCTGCATCAAAAACAAAAATTTTGAAAAAAACGTGGACTTGACACCTTTTTTACCTTTAGGTAGCGTTATGTATTACACTTTTGGAAGTTTAAATGCGAAGCACATAGATTGCCTGGCTAAATATTTGTTATTTTTAAGAGTTAAGCAACGTATAAGTACTCGTACATACAAATATGTACCTGTGTGTGT